TCCCTAAATGCACACCCTCCCTAAATGCACGCTCTCACTCATTCCCAAGGGGGGTGCACTTATGGGGGTTGACTGTAATTGATTTCCACAGTTTTAATTTTCTTAATATTATTATCAATGATTCGCGGGGTATTATTATATATTTCTGAAGGTTTATCCTTCTGCAGTTTCATTCTGAGACCATAAATATGAGAAGTCCGCATAAGTTGAGCAAGGATGTTTCTGTGAAATATTTATTCCAAAGGTTGATAATTTGTGATTTGTTTTATTACCCTATCTAATAATTACTTGGACTGGCAAACCTTTGATTATTTAGTTAGGTTCACTTATTTATTAACACATGATAGATAATAATAATCTGTTGGCTTTAAATTTTCTGATTATTAATGATGAATAAAGAATAGAAGGGAATGAAAATTAAGACATTATTTTTACTTAGTCATATGGGTATATGGACTAACTACCCTTCTCTTTTTTTATATATAATTATTTAGATGGTGCATAGAAGAAGATCAATAACAGCTTGCAATCATAGATCACAAGCAAGGAACAACATAAATTCTCGTATAAATTGTCTTAATTCTTCAATTTCTCATTATAGAACCATTCTATCTCAATATGTATGTATGACATATTCATATTTGTATATATTTGTATTTATATTTTCATTATCATATTCTATTCAAATATTTTTTAATTTTAACAGAGATATCCTGATATGGGGCGTCTTGATTATTTTGAATCTTTAATAGATAGGTTTTTACAAGGAAATAATCCTAATTTTTTAATCTATGTTGAAAGAACATGGGGCAATTACTGTAATGAAATTGTTAGATACCTCTGTCATTATCATCACCATCATCAATGAATCAATGAATAATAAATAAATTTTAATTGTAATAATAACTCTATTCTCTTTTTTATTATTTGAAATACTCACAAATGAATATAATATACACCCCATCTGATTGTTTTTGTTTCTCTTCATATAAGAGTTAGCAGATGTCTCATAAAACGTTTTAAAACTAAATCTAAGTCTTATAATTCAAATATACATGATCGGATTATCATTCCCTTTTTGGTAATAATATTTATTTATAAGTCGCGGCTGAAATCCATCTGAACAATTTAGTTGATTATAACTTTCAACAATTGATGAGGAACAAACATGGGACAATTTCAACTTGTTAACAGGTTTGACTTCAAAGAAGGACCTGAGTTATATTATGGATTAAATCAAATCCAAGATGAAGAGCCACTTGAATATTTCGAAAATGAAGCAACCACTCCAGAATTAGTTTCAGAGGACTTGGATAAAGAGTCCAGAATCAAATAATAATCTTGATAAATGGGGAGAGATCCCTGAAGAATTAGAAAATGATAACTGGGGCTCCACCCCAGAAGAGACAAATAGTGGGAACCCATGGGTTGAGGGAAACACCCAGGAGCAGGATTTAATCCCTCAAAATGCAACTCACATAGAAACTACCAATGAAATCAAACAACCAACCACAACCTTCATACCAATCACGTTTTTAAAATATAAAAGGCAACCATTACCTTGTGGATGTGACAAAAGAAAACTTCAAGAAGCAGCCACTGACCATATGGCAAGAAACTTCTGTACTTGAAGGAAAAATTTTCATTGCTGCCAAGGATGAAGTTTATGAAGGAACAAATAATTACCATCAACTCTGTCAGTCTTCCAACAGAATAGAAAATTATGATATCACTAGTGAATCATGATATCATGAACCTTGTCAAGTGTGCAGACAGCCACTTGAACAGAAAGAAAATATCAGTTGGAACAATTATTGTTGTTCCACACCTTGTAAATATGCCTATTTGGCAATAATGAGCTCCAGACCTTTGAACATATTCCTACAAGAGTTTACCATTATCTTAATACTGGAAGAGGACAATATCATGAAGTTGATGAAAGTGAAGTGCTGGAAAAAGCACAAAACTTTTATATTAAATTAAATGGTGAACCTGAACCTGAAAGATATGATACTTGGATGAATAATAATCTTGAAACATGGAACAAAGCAAGAGAAAGAGCTTATTTCAAAGCTCAAGAAGCTTTAGACTATTTGTGGGAAAGTACCCTCACATATTTAAATGAAGGATATATCTGGCAAATGAATGAATCTTTTAACAATAATAGAGAAGCTGCTATTGCTAGATTACCTACTATACTAGATTTAACCAAGGATAATTGGTTAAAACTGGCAAAGTTTAATTTATGTCATAATTGCTATTTTCCATTTAGCAATGAAGACTTGAGACAAACTAATG